TGAGAGTGGGCTCGGGAAATGGGCGGGTCCAGCCCGGCTCCGCGGCCCAGGTGTTGGCAAGGTCGTGTGTCCGCCGGTGGGGCGGGGGGAGTAGGCAGCATCTGCCTCCAACCCCGCCCACTCTGACCTGGCCTGTTTTTAGTAACCTTTTTTTCCTGGTTAAAGTAACCCCGCTCCGGGTATAACACCAGAAAATGTCAGCGCTGCCGGGAGCATGCGGCCCCCACCCTATTTCCTTCCAGTCCCTTTTCCTGGCATCTTCGGGCTTGGGGCCAGCCCCTGCTGCCTCCCCACCGGGCACTTGCTTCCCTTGAAGGGGATGCTGCGCCCCACCCCGCGGGTGTCCCAGCCCCCGCGAGCCTTGGTCCACTGCACCCCCAGGCACCTCGCAGACGCCGCTACACCCTGACCCCCGCCAGGCTGCGTTGGGACCACTTTAACCTCACGTACAGGTGCGACCCTGGCCCTGGGGGGATGGGGTGCGATGCAGCCTAGCCACAACCCCTGACCTGGACTCCTCTCCCTCCCCTCCAGGATCCTCTCCTTCCCAAGGAACCTGCTGAGCCCCAGCGAGACCCGGCGGGGCCTGGCCGCCGCCTTCCGCATGTGGAGTGACGTGTCCCCCTTCAGCTTCCGCGAGGTGGCCCCCGAGCAGCCCAGCGACCTACGCATAGGTGGGCACCGTGCCCCTGCCCCCGCCCAGCCGCGAGGCCCCCTCTCAGCCCCATGCTCCCCCAGGCTTCTACCCGGTCAACCACACGGACTGCCTGGTCTCCCCGCTGCATCACTGCTTCGACGGCCCCACGGGCGAGCTGGCCCACGCCTTCTTCCCCCCGCACGGCGGAATCCACTTTGACGACAGCGAGTACTGGGTCCTGGGCCCCACGCGCTACAGCTGGAAGAAAGGTGACGGCCGGCCTGGCCTCCTATGGGGGGGCCCTCACACCACGATGGGCATTGGGGCGGGTGGTCTTGGGGGTCGTGGCTGCAATGGGGCTCAAGCATGCAGGGAGGGGAAGGCTGTGAGGAGGCCTGGAGGCCTGGGTTCCCGGAGCCTGAAGCCCCCCCACCCCACACCGCCGGAGCTGGAGCTGCATTCCTGGGGGCCAGCTCACCGCCTCGCTGGCCTGGAACATTCTTATCTTCCCATGGCTGCGCCGAGGGAGGCTCCCTGCCCTGCCGCAGATGTGCGGGCCGCGGGGAGTAAGGCTGGTGGGCGGAGGGAGGAGGGCTGGGCCGGGGTCCGAGGCGCTGACTGGCAGGGCCTGCAGGCGTGTGGCTCACCGACCTGGTGCACGTGGCGGCCCACGAGATCGGCCACGCGCTGGGCCTGATGCACTCTCAGCACGGCCGGGCGCTCATGCACCTCAACGCCACGCTGCGCGGCTGGAAGGCTCTGTCACAGGACGAGCTGTGGGGGCTGCACCGGCTCTACGGTCAGTGCCCCGGGCCAGGGGGCGGGCGGGCGGGCTGGGGGCTGGGCAGGCCCTGACTCGGCCGCCGTCCTGCAGGCTGCCTAGACCGGCTGTTCGTGTGTGCGTCCTGGGCGCGGAGGGGCTTCTGCGACGCCCGCCAGCGGCTCATGAAGAGGCTGTGCCCCAGCAGTTGTGACTTCTGCTACGGTGAGGGTGGTCGGGTGCCCGTCCCGACCCGGTCTGCGCCGTGGGTCAGGCGCTGAGGTGGCCTCTCCCCCGCCCAAGCAGAGTTCCCCTTCCCCACGGTGGCCGCCACCGCCCCGCCCCCCAGGACCAAAACCCGGCTGGTGCCAGAGGGCAGGAACGTGACCTTCCGCTGTGGCCAGAAGATCCTCCATAAGAAAGGCAAAGTGTAGTGAGTCGACCCCCCCCCCCCGGGGGCGCCCCGAAGGGTCGGGCGGGCGGGGGCCCGGGGGACGGGGGACCCGTCGCCCCGAC